AGCCAATCACTCTGCCAATGATGTAATCCAACTCACTGTTACTATGCAAGCTTTGCAAAGAGCACAAGAAAAGATATATAAGCAGCTTGGCTGATCAATAAACTTTGAGATCACCCTCACCCTCCTGACTGCCCATCTTCTTTATCGTCGCCACAGTAATATTAGGTTTCTTACATTGAAAATAGGAGATTTTGAGCAAAACTGGATTGAGTTATAATGCACTTTTGGTTAAAGCCAATACTTGCCAACCTGGTGCCCTCCTGCCAGGTTGTCCAAGAATCTCCATCATTCTCAGATAGTGAGTCCAAAACATCCTGAAAGGCTGGTTTGATTGGCAGGTTGAAGCAAAGTTTTTTTTAGTGATGAATCCTGATAGCCTGTTTATTTAATTTGGCTCCAGTTTTTGGATACATTCATAGATACTGCTAAAGATAATAATAACTTTATTCTTGTATCCCACCACCATCTCCCCGAAGGGACTTGGGGCGGCTTACACAAGGCTCAAGGTAACTAAAACCAAAACATCAAATACAATATACAATTGGTGTGTTGCTGTAGTGGGAGGAAATTAGTGAATCTGTTTTCACTTAAACAAAAGCTAGCTCACATTTGATTTAGTTTGTTCACAGACTGGGTGGCATGAAGGCTTGGACATCTCCAAATATCAAAGAACTATATACTTTATTATGTGTGTGTGCGTGCGCATACATGCACACACACACACACATGCATAAGTGTGTGTATCAGCTGCATGACAACTGGTCAATTTGTCTTGAAATAAAGTGTTAATTCTACTCAGAATCCTTGTGGTGACATATGCTGGCATGTATTTTTTTTTCTGGCACAGCAGAATGAGGTATGCAATACCTCCTTACACAATAGCTCTCTTGTGCAACTGCAGCTTGAAGATATGAGGGTTCACCCCCCCCCCCCCAATGACCAATTGTCTGGCGTTAGTTGTTCAGGCAGGAAGAAAGGATAACCATCAAATACACATATATACACTGATCTCAAGCATGTTCAGTGGAAGGCAATTACTGTTCCTTTTCCTCATCTGCAACTGCAGCCAGGCTATGGCTGAAGGCAACTCCAATCAATGAAACTCTGGTCAGAAGCCCAGCAGAAGAATGCTTGTGGAGCTGTACACTTTGCAAGCAACCAAGTCATATTCTGACCATATAACAGGCTTCCCCAACCAATAGCTATACTATACTGCCTAGGGATTTGGGCCCTGATGATTGCACAGTTAGTACATGGGTACTAGTTAGATTTTCTCAAGGAACAACTTCTCAGTCCATTTCTCATTCTTAGGAAAGTCTTTAAAGTTTATTGCAGAAAACCATTACAACAAACAAGTCCAATCTTGTCAGAAGAGTGCTCTCTCAGCTGCCATCTCCTTTTAAAGCCCGACACACCATATCAAATCCAATTGCGTAAATCCTTGAAGCAACACAAAATTCTTTTTGCTGGCATGACTGCTAAATCTTCAAGCGTCTGTAGTGTGCTGTTACATTGCATGTCTTCCCCTTGACAGCCACAGAATAATTTTCTTGTCACTTGTCAGTTCAGAGCTCAGTGATTTCCTTTTTATGAAAAGCTGTGTATGAAAAAGCATGAGTAGGTGTTGAACTGATCAAAATATTTCTTCATTAGAAATTATTTTATTATCTCAAAGGAAAGTCTCTTCCCAAGCCTATTTGGACAATTGAAACATAGGTAGAGAAGGGAAACCACAGTGGAAAATATGTTTTCCCATAAAGGATGTTCAATTCTTTGACAGGGATCTTCAAATGTTTATCAGCAACCACAGAGCACATCTAGAGCAGCCTGATACTCCTTTAATTGTCATGGTTCTATCCTATACAACCCTGGGATTTGTTGTTGTGTGAGGTCATTTGCTCATTCTCCTAAAATCCAGTATAACACCAGGGCCCCCTGGTGGCACAGCATGTTAAACCACTGAGCTGATGAACTTGCTGACTAGAAGGTTGGCGGTTCGAATCCGGGGAGCGGGGTGAGCTCCCGCTGTTAGCCCCAGCTTCTGCCAACCTAGCAGTTCAAAAACATGCAAATGTGAGTAGATCAATAGGTACCCTTTCTATGGGAAGGTAACGGTGCTCCATGCAGTCATGCTGGCCACTTGACCTTGGAGGTGTCTATGGACAATGCTGGCTCTTTGACTTAGAAATGGGGATGAGTATCACTCCCCAGAATCGGACATGACTATTTTATTTATTTATTTATTTACAGCTTTTATATTCCGCCCTTCTCACCCCACAGGGGACTCAGGGCGGATTACAGTGTACACATATATGGCAAACATTCAATGCCAATTTTTGACATACAAACATATACAGACATACACAGAGGCTATTTAATTTTTTCTGGCAGCCAGGGGAGCTGTCGCTTTCATCGTCCATCTGCGACGCTGATGAAGCACTTCCGCATTCCCCGCATGCTTCCCCGCTGGAATGCTTTGCTGGAGTCTTCTTTATGGCCTCATAAATCAGTTAATTTAGCCTTCCCACACTTTAAGGTGGTACCTAATTTTCCTACTTGACAGATGCAACTGTCTTTTGGGTTGCAAAGGTCGACAACAGGCTACACACAATTGGTTGGAAACCCACTCCAACACGGGCTGGCTTCGAACTCATGACCTTTTGGTCAGAATGATCTTAATGCAGCTGACACTTTCCCGGTGCAGACTTAATGTCAGGGGAAACTTTTACTAACTCTCTGATAGAACATGATAGGTGCCATAGGAAGCTATAAATCCCAGATTCCATAGGATATAAACAGAGCTTTTCAATTGCTACCAAAGTGCTTAACACCTGGAGAGGGAAGAGAATTACCCCTAAAGGGGTACATAACAATTCAGACAATCCAGACTTAGACAACAATCTAAGTGCCATGTTCTGCACTATCTATGCCAGGCATGAGCAAACTTCGGCCCTCCAGGTGTTTTGGACTTCACTTCCTGCAATTCCTAACAGCCAGTAGGGTGTTAGGAATTGTGGAAGTTGAAATTCAAAACACCCAGAGGGCCGAAGTTTGCCCATACCTGATCTTTGCCATTCTCAAGGGCAATACCATTTAGAGCACATTGCAGTAATCTAGGTGGGATGTTGGCAGTACTAAAACTATATCTAACGAACCTCATATTTTGGTTTTATTAGGGAAGTGCTTCTGAAGGAATGGGTGACTTCACGTGGTCCGCTTTGCCATGCCACCATCCCTGCTTTGTGACACCAGGGGCTGCCCAATCTGCTCATGGACGCTTCATCGGCCATCCCACTTACATCTGCGGTCATTCTGTCCTAACACATCCTACTTGTTTTGTTAGACCACAAATCTCAACAAGGTAGTAAAAAGTGTATCTGGGAATTCAAAACCGACAGAATAAGCAAACAATAGTGTAAACACTAATAAGAAAAGGCTCCACACTGAAATGCTAGCTCCCATATGTGAATTTATTCCAGCGTTCAATGGTGGAAGTTTTCTCAGGGAGGAAATCTCTCTGGGTTGTTTTCTTTTTTTCAGTTGGAGAGGGTATTGGTCATGGAAAAGCACTGGGATGGAAGGATGTATTTCTGCTGCATGTAACTTTTTACATCTGAATCAGAGATCTAGTTGTTGAAGACTGATGGCTTTCTTGTCATTCATGGCTAGTCTTTACTTTAACCCCTTTCATTTAATTCAAAGATGTTCATGTCTCAGCTTCTGCTCTCATGTCCGTGAAACAACATGTGAGGCCATAAAGAATTTGAAAGAATCGTTGTACACTGCTGATGTTCCTGTTCTGGCAAGAAGGGAAACCGATGGCTATTATTACCAAGGTACAATAATAAAAGGCATAGAGGTTAGTCATTTCATGATTTTTTGTGTGGTGTAGATCATATAGTGATTCCATATGTAGATTGTATTGTGTTTTCTCATGTAATTTGTTCCCATATTGCTGACATCCCAAATTTCTTGGATTTGCTGCAACCACTGCAGTTGTGCCACAGAAGAGAGAGTGCCAACGGATAACTGTATTCAAATGCCTTCTTTTCTAGCACAGTTGTACTCATGGTAGTACAACAAGTAGCTACACTATTGGTAGACATTACTGTGTTTAGTCACGATGCTTGTACATGAGGTCTTGAATGTACAATAGCCTAACTTACCCATAGAATGTATAGGGTGTCTAGACACTGGTGACAGCCACTTGTAATCATCTCATTTTCCCCCCCAATAATTCTTCCATCTTTTCCCTTACCAGAAGCAAAAGCCGTAAAGAAAAGACAGAGTAGGGCATGCTACATGTTCTCAATCTTTAAGCACTCACCAGGATGGGTAAACTTCTGGAGTGCACTTAGCCATTAGGAAAATGTAATAAATTCACATGAAGTATTTATTTCGGAGTTTTCTTTTCCACACAAAGAATGATGGCATTGTGTTGTGGAAGGCTTTCATGGCTGGAATCACTGGGTTGCTGTGAGTTTTCCAGGCTGTATGGCCATGTTCCAGAAGCATTCTCTTCTGACATTTCACCCACATCTATGGCAGGAATCCTCAGAAGTTGTGAAGTGTGTTGAAAACTAGGCAAGGGATGTTTGTGTGTCTGTGGAATGTCCCGGCTGGGAGAAATAACTGTTGTCTGCTTGAGGCAAGTGTGAATGTTGCAATTGGCTACTTTATTAGCATTGAATGGCCTTTCAGCTTCAAAGATTGGATACTTCCTGCCTAAGGTAATCCTTTGTTGGGTGTTGTTAGTTGGCCTGGATTGTTTCATGCCTGGAATTCCCCAGTTTTTTTAGTGTTGTTCTTTATTTACTGTCCTGATTTTAAAATTTTTAAATACTGGTAGCATGAAATAGGCATAATACTTGATTTGGAGTCACCATAAGGTGAACATGACTGGATGACACACAACAGTAAGGTTAGGGATGAGAGCTAAGTCTGTCAGAGTGATGTCTGAGGGTTAGTTTGTTGTGTTTTGGAGAGTTAGTCTGAGATAAAATTTGTTAGAGTCAAAATTAGTTGGGATGTGAATGGGAGAGAAAGTGAGAGAGATGAGATGTATTTAGTAATATTTTTTTGTTATTTTAACTTTATGTTTAATAATCCCCCCATCTGGAATTATATGTTTTTTGTCCAGGAATGCTTCAGAAATGATATTGGAAAGCTTACATTCAGAGACATCAAGGATTAATCAAGGATTAATCAATTAATCAAAGATGCTGCTATCTGATGAGAACATAAAGTCTTAATAGGAACTATGAGGGCATCTAGGATGGCTCCATGGTGATGGGACAAGAGGAAGTTCATAAATTGGTGGCAGAAATGGGAATAAGTGGAAGCCCTCACATTCAGTGGCAGAGATAGGATAGAGAAGAAGACGACAATGGTTGGGATAAATGGAAAACCCCACAAAGGTCAATAGAATATCAATCTGAACATGAAGGCAGTAATCATACTATTACTTTTTTTAGATGCATTGGTTTTCCAACATGCCATCAGTATTTGCCTTGTTTGGACTTCATCTTGAACCAGTCAGTTTATATTGAGAGTTAAGACTGCAATCTTGTGTATGATCATTCCCACTCAAGCTAGTGGGTGTTACGTAGTCCCTATTTCAATATGCGGCTGTGAACTGGACAGTGAAAAGAGACGACAGGAATAAACCCAATTCATTTGAAATGTGGTGGTGGAGAAGAGCTCTGCAGATACTGTGAAGTGCTAAAAGGACAAATAAATGAGTTCTAGAAGAAGAGCCCCTAGTGGCACAGTGAGTTAAACTGCTGAACTGCAGAACTTGCTGACCAAAAGGTTGGTGGTTCAAATCTGGGGAACGGAGTGAGCTCCTGCTGTTAGCCCCAGCTTCTGCCAACCTAGCAGTTTGAAAAAAAACACATATATGAGTAGATCAACAGATACTGCTCCAGCAGAAAGGTAACAGTGTTCCATGCAGTCATGCTAGCCACATGACCTTGGAGGTGTCTATGAACAACGGCTTAGAAATGGAGATAAGCACCAACTCCTAGAATCGGACATGACTAGACGTAATGTCAAGGGAAAACCTTTACCTTTACCTAGAAGAAATCAGGCCTGGACATCTCCTTGAAGCCAAGATGACTATCATACATTGGCAAGATGACTATCATACATTGGCAATAAGGGGGGGGGAGGGGGGGGAGAAAGGGAATGGAGAAAGTTGGCAAGAAAAAACTCCAACAAATCAAACAACCATTAATGGAACAGAAATTGAGACCATGGATTTGGACTGCGGCATGGAGGAGGGGAGGTGTTCCACTAGCCGAGGGGCCCCCATAGAAGTCGTGGTGGGGAAGGGGAGATGCGGGAGAAGGAGACCACAAATTCGGCCTAATTCGGATCGCATATCTACATTAATAATCGCAAACCGGTCTCCTATGGTAAATTGGTGTAACCAGGTTGGTGGTCCCTCCGGATTGAAGGTGGTGCTGTTGAACGCCAGATCTGTCAACGGAAAAACGGCCTTTATCCAGGATTTAATCCTGGATGAGCGGGCAGATCTGGCGTGTATCACGGAGACCTGGTTGGATGAAGCTGGAGGTGTGAATTTAACTCAGCTTTGTCCCCCAGGGTTCTCCGTGCAGCATCAACCGAGATCCGGGGGGCGGGGAGGCGGGGTCGCAGTGGTCTATAGGGATTCCATCCATCTGACCAGGAGTCCCATCCCACAGTCAACAAATTTTGAATGCGTCCACCTGAGGGTGGGTGACCGGGACAGAATAGGGATTCTGTTAGTGTACCGTCCACCTCGCTGCACTACAGTCTCCCTACCTGAGCTAGCGGGGGTGGTCTCGAGCCTGGCGTTGGAGTCTCAACGGCTTCTTGTGCTGGGAGACTTCAATATCCACGCCGAGACGGCCCTCACAGGAGCGGCTCAGGACTTCATGTCTGCCATGGCAACCATGGGGCTGTCCCAACAAATATCTGGCCCCACCCACTGTGCTGGACATACATTGGACTTGGTTTTCTGCCAGGGATGGGAGCAAGGTGGCGGTATGGAGGAGTTGACCATCTCTCCGTTGCCATGGACCGACCACTTCCTGGTCAGATTTAGGCTCACTGCGCCCCCCAACCTCTGCAAAGGTGGAGGACCCATTAAGTTGGTCCGCCCCAGGAGGCTTATGGATCCGGATGGATTCCTGACGGCTCTTGGGGATTTTCCCGCCACCTCGGTAGGTGACCCTGTCGATGCCTTGGTTGCTCTCTGGAATGGAGAGATGGCCAGGGCAATTGACACGATCGCTCCGGAACGTCCCCTCTCAAGTAGCCGAGCTAAACCAGCTCCTTGGTTTACTGAGGAGTTGGCAGTGATGAAGCGAAGAAAGAGGGAACTAGAGAGCGTGTGGCGTTCGGATCCGAGCGAGTCAAATTGAGCACGGTTTGTCCTTTCTAAGGGCATACGCCGCGGCAATAAAAGCCGCAAAGAAAACTTTCTTTGCGGCTACTATTGCGTCTGCAAGGAACCGTCCGGCGGAGTTGTTCCGGATTATCAGAGGTCTTTTAACTCCCGCCACCTCAAGCGGGAGCCCTGACAATTCGGCCACGCGCTGTGAAGCATTTGCTCGGTTCTTTGCAGACAAAGTTGCTTTGATCCGTTCTGGTCTGGACACCATATTAAATGCAGTCTCTGAGGATGTGACACAAGCACCTGCTTGTCCTATTTTGATGGATTCGTTTCAATTGGTGAAGCCCGAGGATGTGGACAAGATACTTGGAGGAATGAGGCCTACTACGTCCACCCTAGACCCCTGCCCATCCTGGCTTCTGAAGGAGGCCAGAGGGGGATTGGCTGAGTGGGTAACGGTGGTGGTTAACGCCTCCCTTCGGGGAGACAAGATTCCAGCGAGCTTAAAACAAGCTATCATAAAACTGCTGTTGAAAAAACCATCACTGGATCCCACTAGATTTGACAACTTTCGGCCAGTTTCCAATCTCCCCTTTTTGGGCAAAGTCATGGAAAGCGTAGTGGCCTCACAACTCCAGGTATTCTTGAGAGACACGGATTATCTGGATTCGGCACAGTCTGGTTTCAGACCGGGACATGGAACTGAGACGGTCTTGGTCGCCTTAGTGGATGATCTGCGCCGGGAGCTAGACAGGGGGAGTGTGTCCCTGTTGGTGCTCCTGGACCTCTCAGCGGCCTTCGATACCGTCGACCACGGTATCCTTCTGGGGCGCCTTGCGGAAATGGGCCTCGGGGGCACTGTTCTACAGTGGCTCCGGTCATTTCTGGAGGGTCGCACCCAGAAGGTGTTATTGGGGGACACCTGTTCAACGCCACAGCCTTTGTCTTGTGGGGTTCCACAGGGCTCTATACTGTCCCCCATGCTGTTTAATATCTACATGAAGCCGCTGGGTGAGATCATCCGGAGTTTCGGGGTGCGGTGTCATCTGTACGCAGATGATGTCCAACTCTGTCACTCCTTTCCACCTGCTACTAAGGAGGCTGTCGAGGTCCTGAACTGGTGCCTGGCCGCTGTAATGGTCTGGATGAGGGCGAACAAATTGAAATTGAATCCAGACAAGACAGAGGTACTCCTGGTCAGTCGCAAGGCCGAACAGGGTATAGGGTTACAGCCTGTGCTGGATGGGGTCGCACTCCCCTTGAAGGTGCAGGTTCGCAGCTTGGGTGTGATCCTGGATTCATCGTTGAGCCTGGATCCCCAGGTCTCAGCGGTGACCAGGGGAGCATTTGCACAGCTCAGGCTCGTGCGCCAGCTGCGCCCGTACCTTGGGAAGTCTGACTTGGCCACGGTAGTACACGCTCTGGTCACATCCCGCCTCGACTACTGCAACGCTCTCTACGTGGGGCTGCCCTTGAAGACGGCCCAGAAGCTCCAGCTAGTCCAGCGCGCGGCAGCCATGTTACTAACAGGAGCGGGACGCAGGGAGCATACAACGCCCTTGCTGTACCAGCTCCACTGGCTGCCGATTTGCTACCGGGCCCAATTCAAGGTGCTGGTGTTGGCCTACAAAGCCCTAAACGGTTCCGGCCCAAAATACCTGTCTGACCGCATCTCGGCCTATGAGCCCACGAGGACTTTGAGATCGTCCGGGGAGGCCCTTCTCTCGATCCCGCCTGCCTCACAGGCACGCCTGGCGGGGACTAGGGACAGGGCCTTCTCGGTGGTGGCCCCCCGGCTGTGGAACACCCTCCCTGTGGACATCAGACTGGCGCCCTCCCTCATGACATTCCGCAAGGGACTAAAGACGTGGTTGTTTGAGAAGGCGTTTGAGTAAGTGCGGCAACAATTGGCAATGACGATTGGAACGGAACATGGATAACGAGATTTGGATTGTGATTCAATGATGAGACGTTGCGAATGATTTAGTATAACTGGATTATTGATAGTGTTGTTGTTTACTGTTGATGTGATATTGCTTATGTTGTAAATTGTACCTGGTTTTATATGTTGTACACCGCCGTGAGTCGCCCTAGGGCTGAGAACGGCGGTCTACAAGTGCAGTAATAAATAAATAAATTATTATGAGAAGAGATGACTCACTGGAAAGCATGACAGCACTTGGTAAAGTAGAGGGCAACTTGAAAAGAGGCAAACTGAAATACAGATGCATAGGATCAATCAAGAATGCCACGGACCTCAATCTGCAAGACATGAGCAGTATAGGCTGTATTGAATATAGGGTGACTTGGAAGTCCCACATTCATAGGGTCACCATAAGCCAAAATTGACCTGTTAGCACTTAATAACAGGAAGAAAAGATTGTGATGATCATCTATTTCCTTGCTAGAGCAGGGTCTTTTAAAAATACCTATGCCACAAGTCTTTGGGGATTTCAGCTATTTGGGGAGTATCCCAACAGACATTGTGAATAGACTAATGAACAGTATTATTGCAGGAAACATGTCAGTGTGTTTATATATATATACTTTACAATACTACGCTTCTGTGCACAGGATCATCAGTCCTCAATTCATTCAATGTTAGCACTTGAAACTTCAAAAACAAATATTTGATGTTTTTCCTTTTAATTCAAGTGAGTGAACCAAAAAGTTGTTTGTTCACCAACGTCACTGAAAGGCTGACAGTTCTGAAATGCCTGGTGTTTCGCATGTGATTGGAGTGACTCTGGAATGAATCCAGATGATGTCTTTGTGGCACTTGATTCTTGTCACTGCCTACAGCAGTGTTGGAAATTAACACTCCCATTTGAAATGCTGAAGTAAAACAGGCACTTTTACCCCAGCTATATGTATTTACTCCATGTGTAAAAGAGTGTAAAAAAGGTCAGACTATTGGTGATCCAGAAGGTGGAAGGTAAAAGGAAGAGGGGCCGACCAAGGGCAAGATGGATGGATGGCATCCTTGAAGTGACTGGACTGACCTTGAAGGAGCTGGGGGTGGTGACGGCCGACAGGGAGCTCTGGTGTGGGCTGGTCCGTGAGGTCACGAAGAGTTGGAGACGACTGAATGAATGAACAACAAATTGGTGATCACTGGAGGGTGGACAATGAACAGAAATGAGGGTGATGAGTAAAAACCTCCAGTTTTTGGGTTAGATCAGGAACATTATACAAATCAGTCATTTATATATGGACTTCATCAATCATCCAGGTTATATAAATAGATAATCCGTATCTCATGTCTTCCATGCAGATAACTGGACAGGGACAAGACACATAGCAGAACAGAGAGAAGGATGAACATACTATATTGTGTCTTGAGTATCAAATGATTTAGTTGAGATACGTTCAAATTACTGGGATTTTTTTAGACCAGCAGGAATAGTAGAAACACACCTGGTTCACACCTGGAATGCATATATTTACGGTGTTTACATTCTCTAAGTAACTTTGGATGCCAAAACTGAATTTCTAAATGCTCAAACGAAGTTTTAAGTTAGCCAGTGTGGTGTAGTGCTTTGCACATTGGCCTAGGGCCCCAGAAAACTAGTGTTCAAATCCACACTCAGCTCATGGAAACCCTGTAAGTGACCTTAAGCAAGTCACACTATCTCAACCTCAGATGAAGGCAAATACAAACGTCTTCTGCACAAATCCTGCCAAGAAAGCTCTATGGTAAGATCACCTTAAGGGTGACATAAGACAGAAACAAAGACATGCAACAACAACGAAGGCTAGAAATTTGGGGACTGAAGGAAAATGGGTGTGGGAGGAACAATCCACCCCATTACAGTTCATCCTCTGAGCGTACCTCTCTCTCTCTCTACCTAGAGTGAAAGCCCTTTTCTAGAAATTTAATAGGAAACATAATTTTCCTAGCCATCCCATAAATGACAGAATGTTCTGATTTTAAGTTCAGCTGAATCTAAAGGAAAAAGCGCCTACAATGTTCTTTTGTATTCTTGTATCATTACTGGTGTCCTGTAATTTCTCTCCATCATCAGCCTTAATATCTAATCATTTTTAAGCTGTCACAGAACAAAGTGTTAAGTACTGCAGAAACTGGCTTTTTATGTTCATCCTTTTTATTTCCAACATCAGGGTGAGATGAGAAAATTCCTGGTACAATTTACCAGGCCATTTGCAGTGGGTGAAGAAGACATAATGAGTGTGCAAGAAACAGCCAGTACTGACATCCTTGAATGTGTGACTGGAATGAAGCACTCCATCCTGCCAGGTGACAAAGTGTTGGCACCTTGGGAACCAGAGCAGAAAAGATACGGGCCTGGCACAGTCCTCCAAGGCATGGAGACTAGGGATCCTCTGAGAGGTAAATCTCCTATGATTACTGTGCAAATTACATCCAAGAAATACAGGTGAGTATCCCTTATCTGGAGGGCCCTCTAGTGGCACAGTGGGTTAAACTGCTGAGCTGCTGAACTTGCTGACTGAAAGGTTGGTGGTTTGAATCTGGGGAGTGGGGTGAACTCCCTCTATTAGCCCCAGCTTCTGCCAATCTAGCAGTTTGAAATGTGAGTGGATTAATAGGTGCCACTTCTGTGGGAAGGTAATGGCGCTCCATGCAGTCATGCCGGCCACATGACCTTGGAGGTGTCTAAGGACAATGCCAGCTCTTCAGCTTAGAAATGAGGATGAGCACTACTCCCTAGAGTTGGACACGATTAGACTTAATGTCAAGGGAAACCTTTACCTTTACTATCTCTTATCTGAAATGCTTGAGATCAGAAGTGTTTGGGATTTCAGTGTTTTCCACATTTTGTAATACATGTATTTTTAATAATTGTGCTTGAAATAAAATATATGTACACCACAAAGGAAAACCATAATTATCTCAACCACCCGTGCAGACAATTTGAGATGTTGGAATATTTTAGATTTTGGAATTCTGAATAAGGGATATTTAACCTTTATAAGGCAGTTATCTGTGTACTTTGCCAAGCTTCTTTTCCTATTTTCCCCCAAAAGCTGTTTAAGATTATCAGCCTTTTTATCCTGGTTTTCCTTATCTGGAAATACAATTTACCCATAACAGACCACAGTCCTGTTTCTTTTATTTCTTATGGCTGACCCTCAGGCCCCTTGGGTCTAGATGTCTTAAAATCTAGGTCCCAAACACTGCCTCAGAGAAACAGTGGGTCCTATAAAAATGGAATGATGCTTGCATTTAGAAAATCTGCACCTTCTCTAGTCTGTATAAGGAATGCCCAACTCTATACGCAGTTTCATCCTCAAGCAGCACTGAGCGTCGGTCCTCATTAAACTCCTTAGTAATAATTCTCATTAAAAATTGAGGGACAGACTTTTAAAGACTTATACAAGAGGAGTCTTTTTCCTACTGCTGATGAACTCTGTTTTCTCCTTTCCTTTTCTGCCTTCACATGATCCCTGTCTTTGGATCTGAGTCCAAAGCACGGAGAGTCAGGCTGTGTGGACCTGAGAGGAGTGACATGCCAACCATCTAGGGCCCTTTCATACTGTGCAGCTATCACACTACGATCCCACTTTAACTGCTGTGGCTACATCCTACGTTATTCTGGGGTTTGTAGTTTAGCACTGGAGAAGCATTTAGAGATTTGATTTTTCATAATGATTGAATTTGCTGCCTTCATTGCTTTCCTACACTTGACAAAAAAACAACAACAACATGTTCTCTCTAGGCATTTGCCAGTCAGAATTGACCATATAATTGCACTCATGGACCTACAAATGCCTAAAGAAGTGTACTCTCAGATAATTTTTAAAATAAGTTTTATTTAGATTTATGGTTTTATATTTCATGGGAACCCTGCATTTCTATCACCACAAATGTGGAGGGACCACTAAACATTGATTAGTAATAGAAGCTTTGCTTGAGGAGAACAGTGGTAATGAAATGTAGTTTATATGTATTTTTTTTCAACAGAGAGAGAAGATGAAAAAATTACAGTCAGCTTTTGGAATGGCAAGAAAGCCAAAGTCCCATTGGGCGTAGCCTTGTGGATTCCACCCCACCAGTGGAAGAGGATTGTAGAGATGATCCACATGCCCCACACTACCAGGAAAAAAATGGAAGGGCAGCTCCGCAGGGCTAACTGTTATGCTTGGCCTCATTCCATATCACCCTGTACATATCCGTGCACTTTGGGTGACCTCCAAAGGCTTCACTGCTCACATTGCTCTTGTTTATATCCTTATTCTAGCTGCTTCCGAAACACATGCTCACAACGTGGATATACACAGTATGTTTCCTGCTGCTCCCCTAAGTATAGGAGGTGCTGGTGGCAGCCCCCTTCAGCTGAATTAGCCAAGGAAGAAATCAGTAGCAGACCCACCACACAATTATTAGCAGTGGAAGGTTCTCCTAAAGCAGAGTCTGCTATTGCTGTGCCTGACTCTTCTTCAAGCTCTTCAGCTACCCAAACTGATTGGAAAGCATCTTTGACAATGGTAGATCATGCCGTGAACACAGATTATACCCTATTTGATAAGCCCACGGTACAGGAAGTCAAAAGGCCAGACTGGAAATACTGGAAGAGAAGTCACCCAAGCTCCCCATATAAGAGCCAAGGTACACAACACTTGATGAAACTTAATCAAAGTTAGAATGTCATCTGATAAGGCAGTGGTTCTCAACATTCCTAATGCTGCGACTCCTTAACACAGTTCCTCATGTTGTGGTGACCTCCTTCCAAAACATCATTTTTGTTGCTACTTCATTACTGTAATTTTGCTACTGTTGTGAATCTTAATGTAAATATCTGATATGCAGAATGATTTTTCATTCACTAGATCAAATTGGGCACAAATACCTGATACGCTCAAATTTGAATATTGGTGGGGTTGGGACGGGGGGGATTGGTTTTGTCATTTGGAAGTTGTAGTTGCTGGGATTTATAGTTCACCTGAAATCAAAGAGAATTATGAACCACACCAACAATAGAATTGGGCCAAACTTCCCACACAGAACCCCCACGACCAACAGAAAATACTGTGTTTCCTGATGGTCTTTGGTGACCCCTCTGACACCCCCTCATGACCCCCCAGGGGTACCAATCCCCAGATTGAGAAACACTGTGATAAGGGGTGATTAGCTATATTCAGAGTCCTTCTTCTGCCAAAAACATCACAGAGAATAACATATTTCAGAATTGATATTTAGTCCTTTACCAAAATGCAGAGAGAACACAAGGGGAGATAGATATGCAGCAACATATTACATTGTCTATTACAAAGTAACAATATATCGTGGAATATATTGGAATATATTGCTGCCAGTGACAAATAGATGAAATGGCAGGTTTAAAAAGGAGTATTTTAATACACTCAAGATTGTTTCAAACTTTTGCGAGGCTATTTGTAACTCATGGTAAGTATTATGCTATTGTCTGTAGGATCCAATGTTTTCAGCAGCTGCAGCAGAAAGGAAAGAACTGGATCCAAAATAGTTCCACATATGGATACACCGCCAATCATGCTATTAAACCAGAGTGCCATATTTGAAACCATTGAACAGTATCCTCGAAACAAACTTAAAGTGAAGAAAATCTTGACCCAGGAAGGTACAAAACCATCACCATGGGGAGGGTATTGAAAAACTTGTGCTTGATCTTAGGTATTAAAACAGCAATTCTACTTATTTTGTTTAAGTGAAGATCTGCAAGAACGCAATAAATCACTTAAATAAGACTGTGTCTGGTACTTCTGTATGAATGTGGGTCTGTCCATGGAATTGCTTTCCAGCAAGCTTTTAAGTTTCTAATTGCACCACTGTAGTATTCATGGAAGACAACAAATGGAACCAAAGTTGAAGCAGTTTTTCACATAGGCCCCTTCCACGCTGCACCTATATCCCAGGATCTGATCCCAGATTATCTGCTTATCACAGATTATTTGGCAGTGGAGACTCATATAATGCACTTTAAAGCAGATAATCTGGGATCAGATCCTGGGATATATGGCAGTGTAGAAGGGGGTGGGTTAAAACGCTGAGCTGCTGAATTTGCTGACAGAAAGATTGGCGGTTCAAAACAGGAAGTGGGGTGAGCTCCCACTGTTAGCCCCAGCTTCTGCCAACCTAGCAGTTTGAAAACATGCAAATGTGAGTAGATCAACAGGTACTGCCTTGGCGGGAAAGTAACAGCATTCCATGTCATAGCGGTATATGTCCTTGGAGGTGTTTACGGACAATGCTGACTCTTCAGCTTAGAAATGGAGATGAGCACCACTCCCAAGAATTGGACACGACTAGACTTAATGTCAAGGGAAACCTTTACCTTTAGAAGGGGCCATAATCATTTCTGAACTTATGAGATCAGACAGGAAAAAAACTGGTCCCCACAGAACCAAATAACTATGCTGAGAAATACAGAACTGGGTCATCCGACAGTCACATGAAAATGAATCCAGTTCTTTTCACTTGTGGGGAAATAGTGCATCCTGTTGTCCATAATACACTACAGTGAAGCTTTCTTTTCTACTCCATTTCATTTCACTTCAACAGTATATACTGTTGTTTTAGGAAATTTGTAAGACAAACTGCAGTGTTAAGTATTGAAAAGAAACAGCTTTATATTTATTGCATAGCATACAAGTGAAAGGACACCCACATGATTCAAGTTAAGGCAAACATGTTTTAAATAATACACAGACAGAAAAACAGCATGTTATAAACAATAATATACAGAAGGAATAAAAGCACAATAAAATGCTCATGTCTGAATATATAATATTTTAACAAGAGTGAGGAGATTATATTAAAACACACTGTCAGATGCTGACATATCTATCATTTGTTACCTTGATTAGAAATCAAAAGTCAAATTTACACTTTCTCCTGGCTTAATCTTCAGCAGATGTGTTTGTTTGTTTGTGTCTTCATGCAAAGATGCGCTGACTCTGTAGGTGCCAGGAGAAACTTCAACATAGATATCCTGCATGTAAAACTTGGAGGTCAAGATATTTACAAAGAAAAGGTCAACACTAGTAAAACTGTTTTAACTGTTAGGACAGCCATTACTTGGTGAGTTTTTTTTCAAAATGATAGCATAGATATATGTGAGCACAAAATAGCATTCTAAAAAATGTAAGTATACACCCCAGAGTCAGACACAACTGGACTTTACCTTTACATACATATAACAGGAGAAAATTATTGCCAAGAAGGTACTGCATGTATGAGCAATAACTGGGGAATAATTGTAGGAGCTTGCTGGACTTCAGATGGATAATTTATAGTAAGTATATTTGTAGAGTCCTCAATACACCTTTTCTCCCAGTTTCTCCATATATTTCAGGTCTTCATATAAATGAGCAACTGTTTTAGTCTCTTAGGAAATTGTATGTGTTTCACCAGGCCTTATCCCATACAGGGTAGGACTTAGTTTTCCTCTCCTTGCACCCCATAATTGTTCTAAAATGTTTTCCAGTTCACTGGAGTGGTCTCAGAAGAAAGAGATTATGTCTGTTTTACTGAAAGAATGACACCCTAGATGCAATGCACAGGGAAAGGAGTCACAGAAGCTTTCAGCCATCAAAGCAAACTTATACTTGCCTTTATGTCAGAGGTCTTAGCTGGAACTAATGCAGATGATTCTGTATCTGGACATCCAGGTTCTTCCACTATTGGACCATGTTTACTTTCCTACAGAGAAATGGAATTCAAAAGCTGGAGGTAAGTAGGTTACGTCTGTCAGCATTCAGGGAAAAAACATACTGAATCCAAATCAATGCTGACAGACATTAAGAATGGGATCAAGATGTATGACCTGAAATACTAATAACATATCTCTATATAACCATAGCTGTTAAGCCAAATGCTACAGAGGGATAATGTTGGTCACTGTTATTATCCTGCTCAAAAATGGTCAGATCCTGATAATTAATGGATGCACTCCATCGAGGTTGCAATAAGAGTTAGTGATCAAGATTCCTTGTGATGAATCCTACAAAATTGCAGTGTGCTATACAAAATCAATCTCTTACCTGTCTAAAGGCCACATTCAAACCATAACCGTAAATCTCATGGTTTCCCAAGGAATTAATTTACATATCACAAACTACGGCATGCCTAAACAGTAACATCTGATGGTTCTCTCTCAGAGGAAGTGGTAAATCTGCTTCAGGTTTTAATCTGAACTTTAAATGTGCTATACAAGGTGAACCTATTCCACAAAATACATTCATCAGGCAGTATAGCAAAACACATATTTCTTAAGAGTGGTAGAAAGGAGATCAGCTTAACAGGGCAATGCAACAAGCCCTTTCAGAGAAGGTTCTGTTAACAAAAGACAAACATATGCACACTTACTTCATTTTCAAATGCTTTCAGCAGATTTTCAGAAGCTTGCCTGCTGTGGTATCTGAAAATATGGGCAACTTCACACTCCTTAAACTGAAGTGGAGGCACACAGCAGTAGTAGTTCTGAGGAGAAATGAAGAAGAGTATGATTAACAAAGAGGTAGAAGTACATTTAAAAAGAGAGCTTCATTTAAACCTATGGCATTTCTCTATGGAATGGAGTCTGTTCTACAAAGATGTGACCATTTTTTCTTACATGGATGGAAACATTTCTGAAATTTGATGGGAGGTTTGCAAAGGAAGAACTGGCAAAAGTTACTTCTTTCAGTGGAAGCTCCCCCTGGACATCAGTTTCTTCCAAACCCTGAAGCAATCCATTCAGCTTTTATACAGATCTGTCCCTTCAAAGCTGGTATTGTTCCTACATCAAGACCCAATTTTACCTCACATTCTGCAGAGATACGGCCCATATGTTCAGCAACTGAAGCAAAGGCTGCAGCAAGACATGTATCTTCACCATCCCCTTCCTGTTGTCATGAAACAAAATGTTTGGTCACTATGGAAAGCATACCACAACACAGACAAAAGGGCAGTATGTTATCTTACAGAAGCAGAGATGGTTATACACAATTGCCTCATACTAGCTCAGTGGTTATCAGCCTGTGGGTCCCCAGATGGTTTGGCCTTCAACTCCCAGAAATCCCAACAGTTGGTAAACACTTGGGGTGTTGAGATTAACTTCACAGTTCAGCAGCAGATCAGTTGCACAACTTCAGAGCTTTCCAGTAGCTTCTTCCTGCACAGCTCTTTTCAGTCAACTGCTCCCACAGCCTGCAGCCACGCTGGAAGTTTTTACAAACACTTGAGCACATGCCCGGCCATTGTCAGTTTTACCATTGTCTTTTCCCCAGTCTAGATGATATTACAGACTCACCACAGCACGCAGCCATATCTTGTCCTAGTAGACAGGTTCTTTAATTACATATAGCCTTCGACAAACAACATCACGACACAAGGAGAAATATACACTGTACATGGTTTCCTTATATACAGTTCATTTACACATAGCAGTCTCTGATTGGTTACCAACTAACTGACTCAACTCAAACCCAGGATTGGATCATTCACAATCACCTGGAGTAGGCCAGAACACATTCCCCAAATGATTCCCCATATACAATCAATGTATGACTCAGCATTCCCAACAGAAGCCTATTAGCAGTGCATGACTCAGTTTATTACATTACAATACATTGTAAAACCTGACATGGGGACCCACAGGTTGCGAACCACTGTACTAGCTAATAATAATAAAAAAACAAATGTCTAAGAGCTCCTGAAGAGTTGTCTTCCACATTGTGTGATGGCTTAACAGCATGTTCAACCCACAACTCACTGCAAGAGAGGCTTCTTAGGAAGAATTATCTTTCACTAAATTCATATCTTTTACTTTAAAAATTAGAAAACAAGACAAGAGTTATCAATGACAGTCTCATTTTCTCAGACCATCTCATATAGCCAGTGAAATCTTATATTGCCCTAAAAGCCTCCTAAAATAAGTTAGATGGGTCTCAAAAGGTTCCCCATACCTTTAATCCCAACATTATTATCCCATCATCCTTTCCTGTCTTGGTACCATATAAGATGGTAAACATCAAATTGGCCTTGGATGACTAAGGCAGAACTACTGAAAAGCATACCACTCTCCTGCCCAATAAAAGCAGCTACACAAAGCAACACTGCTTCTCACAGGCTATTTGGGCATATTGGTCCTCTTGCATCCAGGTGCAAAGACAACAAACATCATGATGCATCCAGTCTTTAATGGAAGAAGCTCACTATATGCACTCACTGCTTCCATTATCATTTAATATCCATCTTTACCCAGATTTACTCTGAGGTCACATACTAGAAAAACACCATGTAATTTTGAGGGAGAACTGCTACTATTGCTTTCCATGAGGCTGTTTTTTGCAACATAATGATCTTGGCCCCAAACATAGTATCTCAAGGCTTTTCTTTTTAAAACCCTTACCCTGAAGGTCCTTCTTTGGAGCTGACCAGGAATTGGCCAGTTCAATTTTCTTGATTTTGCACGTTCCAGAACTTCCTGTGCAAGCGTTGCTGTGCGTTGCATGCGATAGTTTACATTTAAGGAATGGGATGTCATTTTTTCCAACCTGATATAAAAACAATAACAATAAACAGTACTCTTCCTCAGATTGCAACAAACAACATCAAAAGGGAAAAAAGAGAAAGGATGAAGAAGACAAGAAAGGAAATGGAATTAAATTGTCTATTCATCTCTAATGAATTTTTATTATTTGCCAAGAGTTGCTTTTCCCACATGTTTGGTACAATCCTGTTCATACAGATTGAACTCGGGATACTTCCCAAGTCTCATTTTCAAGAAAAGGTACTAAAGATAGCACCCCCAACCAAAAAAAAATTGGAAGCCTTTTCCTTTAAGAAGAGTCCACAAGGCTTTGCTGACAGCTACACATTCAAGTGAGGTGAAAAAATCCCTTGGTATGGAGGCACTTGTGTCATGGCTCACTCAGTGACTTGCTGATGTAATTGGTTGATAGCCCAAGCAAATGCATTAAGCATCACAGGAATCCCAGTGGCGCAATGAGTTAAACCCTTATGCCGGCCGGACTGCTGACCAAAAGGTTGGTGGTTCGAATCCAGGGAGCGGGTGAGCGCCCATCTCTCAGCTCCAGCTTCTCATGCAGGAACATGAGAGAAACCTCCCAAAAGATGGTAACACATCCATGCATCCCCTGGGCAACGTCCTTGCAGACGGCCAATTTTCACACCAGAATGACTTACAGTTTCCCAAGTCACTCCTGATCTGAAAAAAAACCCCCAAAAACCCCAACATAACAGAAGCAACTCTGTTGTATTCCCACAGTTACGACAGCGTTGTCACTTTAAAATATGAAGCTGCTGGTTTAGAGGATTTCATTTTCCTTTAAAAAAACACACACACACACACAAGGGTTAGCTGATTGCTGTTTGGCTCTATATAATTCAAGAATGTAGAAATGCACATTCAATACACAACTTTATTACCATACTTCACATTTTGCAGTAATGATATAACACAACAGTCTGTTGCCACTGTGCCCTTTAAAGTCAAGATCTAATTTAACAAGCAGCACAGCTGAGTTCACTTTCACATACGAATTGTAATGGGAAGCATTGGAATGACCTGGTCTATATTGCAGAAATGTTGTGGGAATCCAGAGCAATAGCATCTGTTTACATGTTACAAGGCGACTAGAGGAAGGTTTTAATAAAAGATTGAAATTGCACAGGTAATGGGACATCACATGAATTAAAGTCCAAGTTTTTAAAGAGGTTTTATTAGGACTTTTTATGAAATACTTGCCTCAGGCTGAAATCCTATTCACATGAGAGCAATTCCCATTGGACTAATTGGGTTTTCTTTTGATCATAACCTTATGGCTCCTTTCCATGGCAGATTTCCATAGGAAGCAACTTTGATTGCTAGTTTTGAATCTTCAGACAACCTACTAGTCTAAAATGGGTTCATGCAAAAGTTGAAATAAACTAGATTTTTGCTATGAACATTTGAAATTGCTTAGTTGGCATTCACAAATAATAATACTTTATTTATAGGCTGCCTTACCTCTGCAAGGGGACTCTAACAAAATGTCTAATAGTATTCTTGTTTCTTCAGCAAATCAAGCACCTGCACAACTTAGGCCAGAATATAAGTACATGCTTTCGAACAGTAGGATGCTCTTAAATCCACTTAAAATCCGGTTTCAGCCTCCTCCAGAATTCTGGGGTTTGCAGTTTAGTGAGCCTGTTAATGGCTCTTCCCTAAACTACAAACCTCAGAATTCTGCAGGAGGCTGAAACCAGATTTTAAGTGGATTTATTCTCTAGGTAGTCTCTTGGCAGACACTGGCCATTTATTTATTTGATACATTTATGCCACATCTTTCTTCCAATGAGCTACTTTTATACATTTTCACACAGAGAACCGAGAGTATATCTTGCTCTGCTACATCCTGGGGTTGTGTATCAATGAGTATAGGACTGGTTGTTGTTCAGCTTCTGCCCTGCCAACCTGATTACTTTGCTTCAGATATCCATTACTAGTTGTCACATTTACCAATATAAACAGCCCTCTGAATTTGGGCAACCTGATTATGCATCTCTGGCACAAGGTCACTCATTTGCATGGATCTGTGGGGAGTTTTTTTTTCTGTGTCAGGAGTGACTTCAGAAACTGCAAGTCGCTTCTGGTGTGAGAGTATTGGCCATCTGCAATGACGGTGCCCAGGGGACGCCCTGATGTTTTGATGTTTTACCATCCTTGTGGGAGGTTTTTCTCATGTCTCCGCATGGGGAGCTGGAGCTGACAGAGGGAGCTCATCTGCACTCTCCCCGGATTCAAACCTCTGACTTGTCAGCCTTCAGTCCTGCCAGCACAAGAGTCCTGATTTTACAGTATTTTAGTACTGGTAACGTGAAACAGACATAGTAAATGCATGAAACAATCAGGGCCAGCTAACACCTTCAAACAAAGGAGTCCCCCAGGCAGGAAGCAGCCAAGCTTCAAAGCTGCAAGGTCACTAAATACTAATCAAAGTGGCCGATTGCAACATTCACACTTGCCTCAAACAGACAAGATTTCTTTCTCCTACCCTGGACATTCCACCGAATTTTCCTAGCTTCCAACAGACATAACAACGTCTGAGAATGCCTTCCATAGATGTGGGCGAAACGTCAGGAGAGAATGCTTCTGGAACATAGCCATACAGCACCCCAGCGATTCCGGCGATGAAAGCCTTCGACAACACATAGAACCTCTCTCTATTTGTATGTCGCAAAAGGCGCGCCTGATCCGTGGGACACAACAGCCTCTTCAAATGTTTAGTTGAGTCTTTACTGTAAACAAACACTTTCCGCGCGACTTCACTCCCATTCTAGAAGTCCGGGCTCCCCCTGCTGGCCGCCTGAGGAACTCACCGTCAATCCAACCCGCGTAGATAGAGGCCAGCCGTCAGAAGGAAAGAGCCGCCGCTCAGCGCCGCCTTATGAGCCCATCTTTCCCCCAGGAAGCGCCAATGGCCGAAAGCAACGCTGCTGACGTCACTACCATTGGTTGTCGCTGCAGCTGTGAAGGCACGAGCGCGGTTTCCGCGTGAGCCGTGTCGGGGGGGGGGGGAGCAGTGCGCTTCTTGGAACAGCGGCTTATTGCGTCACAATAGGCGCTGCTCGTGGCCCCGCCTTCTTCCTCTCGGAAGCTGCTTTGCTGGAGGCGGCAATTCAATTGGTCGCTGATTGAGGTCCGGTGGAACTCAGCGAGACTAACTTTGAGAGAGGAGGAATTTGAATCAAGGAGGCTTGTAATGGGGGAGCACATAGAAGTTGTATCTGCATTGCGGAATTAATGAAGTTTTGACGCCACTTGAACTGCCCTGGCTCTATGCTATGGATTTATAGAAGGCCTGAGCAAACTTGGGCCCTCTGGGTGTTTTGGACTCCAACTCCCACCATTCCTCACAGCCTCAGTTCCCTTCCTTTTCCCCCTCAGCTGCTTAAGACTGTTAGAATGTTGAGTCTGGCCAATCAGAAACCATATGCAAATGATTGAGTTGAGATAGCTCATGCATGGGCGAACTTGAGCCCTCCAGGTATTTTGGACTTCAACTCCCACCATTCCTCACAGCCTCAGGCCCTTTCCTTTTCCCCCTCAGCCGCTTAAGCGGGAGTTAAGTGGGAGTTGAAGTCCAAAACACCTGGAGGGCCCAAGTTTGCTCAGGCCTGATTTATAGTATTGATAAGTTAAATAATAATAATAATAATAATAATAATAATAATAATAATAATAATGTGATTCATGGCTTTCCCCCTTGGATGTTACTCAGGATTGTATATCTACCTTCTGTGGTCTGGCAACTACTTGATACTTTCTTAAGCAGAGTGGGAAGTATCATGTAGCAACAAACAGGACACAAATTGTATCATTTTATTGCACCAAACTGGAGTAAAAGTTGGGAAATTGCCATGGAAGGTTGCTGTTCTCAGACTAACCAACCATCTTCCTTCTTTAGAAGTGGCAATATCTGTGGCATTTCTGACTGCTTTCTAAGACCAAAGTGCTGCTGAAGTTACTTTTGAGTCACTTTATGCTGATCAAGTTACTCGGCAAAGGCTTCAAGCGAAACATCAAGACAAACCTTCATTTCTTCTTTCAGCTGGGTTTCCTAGTCAGCCTGTTTTTTTTTAATATATGTTTTTTTATTGCTGACACGGGTAGAATAATATCACAATCCATCACCATTTCAGAATACATATCAAATATTATTTTCTTAGTGTTCTTATCATTGCCCATTCCACCTTTATCTACCACTTATGTCTATCAACAAGTCAGCTTGTTGTTAAGCACAGACAAGTGGATTTTGACTTGTGGCAACCTTATTTATTTTATTTATTTATTTGACTTGTAAATTGACTCCCAATTTGGCTTGGAGCAGTTTACAGCAGTAGATTAAAACAATACAACCAATTTTAAAATACAATAAAAATGAGGGACATCCAAAGTCATCTTGTAAAAGGGTCCTGGGATAGTCTTTCCGTCTGAGATGTTGTCTTATGTATGTATGTATGTATTTATTTATTCACAGTATTTATATTCTGCCCTTCTCACCTCGAAGGGGACTCAGGACGGATCACAATGCACACATACACAGCAAACATTCAATGTCATTTTCGAGACAGACAGAGACAGAGGTATTTTTGGCATTTCCACTTTGGTGCCTGGAGGTTATGCTCAATTCCCACCACAGGGGGAGCTGTCGCTTCATTCACTATGATGCCAAGTCCTTTTGATCGCATTTCCTCCTTGCTCTTTGACCACTGGCATTTTTTATGATGTTGTAAAATAACTCCTCACTTTAAGCAGTCCCTAATTTCTCTACTCAGAGCTCTGCTGTTTTCAAACTGCTTAGGTGGACAGTAAGCTAGGCTTAACAGTCAAGTGCTCAATCTGATCCAGGCTTTGAACCTGTCACCTTCTGGCCGGCAGTGATCTATTGCAGCTGGTGATTAACCAGCTGTGCTACAGCCCGGTTCCCCAGTCTTCCTCTTTTCCTACAGATTTCCATCGTACCAAGCATGATTTCTCCCTCCTACTAGTGAGCTATAACTTCTCATGATATAGCCAAAATTGAATAGTCTCAGAGATGAGATGTTATGATGTTTATTGATTGTTATAATCTTATTCTTTTAACTTGTTTTTAACTGGTTTTTTATCATGTTTAAGTATTGTACTTGCTTTGTTAACTGCTTTGAGTCGCCCTGAGAGCTGAGAAGAGCGGTATACAAATATAGTAAATAAATAAATAAATAAATTTAATGAAATCAATGCAGTTTCATGCCACTTTAACTGTCGATGTTATAGGATCATAGGAGTTGTGATTTTAGAAGGACTGTAGCTTTCTCTGCTAAATAGTGTGGATGCCAAACTACAACTCCCATGAGTCATAGCATTGAACCTTGGCAGTTAAAGTGGTATCAAACTGCATTTATTCTACAGTGTAGATCAGGAATGGGCAAACTTGGGCCATCTGGGTGTTTTGGACTTCAACTCCCACAATTCCTAATAGCCTAAGGCCTTTTCCTTCCTGCCCCCCCCCCCAGCCACTTAATAAAGGGCCTGAGGCGGTTAGGAATTGTGGGAGTTGAAGTCCAAAATACCCAGATGGCCCAAGTTTGTCCATGCCTGTGCTATATTAATTCTCCAGTATGTAGTGGTCACATCATTTTTAAAAAATCTTTGACCTGCACATTTCACTTCAGACTCATCAACATTCACCCACCTGGATTTGCCATGGAAGAGAAGTTTTCCTTTAGTAATACTGTCATGCTTTCACCCTCCAACAAAGCAGCCTTGTTTGCTTAGGTCGCACAGTCTTAAGCAGCCCAGAATACGAGTTAGCCTGTTTCGTTTAAAAAGCAATGCCAGACAAAGATGTGCCTCGGTTCATTGTGGTACACAGTCAGCAGTTTCAAAATGACCCAGGGAAAGACTTGCTGACAGTGTGGATTATTGTACATAAAGGCAAGTTCTTGCAAGATGGAGCAGAAATGCTCTTCACAGTCCAAGGAATTCCTTTTTGGCTACTATAAAGGGAATTGTATTTGAAGAAAGAGTTATCTCGCTAAATTAGCAGATGCCATGGAAAATCCACCAATGTTGCGGATTTTCCTTTAGATCCAAAATTAATCCTATGTGAAAATAGCAGATTCTACTATGACATATATTTCTTGTGAGTATTGGTAGTCTAGTTTTGATAGACTGCATTTAAATATATAAATCTATAAGGAGCCCCTGGTGGCACAATGGGCTAAACCCTTGCGCCGGCAGAACTGAAGACTGACAGGTCGGAGGTTTGAATCTGGGGTGAGCTCCCTCCATCAGGTCCAGCTCCCCATGCGGGGACATGAGAGAAGTCTCCCACAAGGAAGGGCGTCCCCTGGGCAACGTCTTTGCAGATGGCCAATTCTCTCACACCAGAAGTGACTTGCAGTTTCTCAAGTTGCTCATGAAATATCTGTCTATCTATCTATCTATCTATCTATCTATCTATCTATCTATCTGTTTATCTCTCTCTCTCTCTTTCTATATATATATATATAATTTAAATATTACTATCTCACCCTATATCAAAAGATCTCAGGTGCATAATTAAAATCAAAGCTAACAATTTACAAAACAAATACAAATAATTTAAATAGACTAAAAACATCCTCAACACATTAAAATTGAAACAGTTTTAAAAGGTTAAAACAGTTTTGAAACTCTGTGCACTGGACACGTGGAGTCCAGATTAAATCAATTACTTTTAATAAAACCCAGGGTTTTTACTTGATGATCCTAACATTGGCACCAATTAGGCCTCAAAGGGTAGAGAATCCCACAACTGGAGTGCCACCACAGAGAAGACCCTCTCCAATATCTTCCCACAATGCCTTTCCCTTTACTGATGGGAAATCAAAGAAAGGGCCCTCCAGTAGTTGCTACAATCAGATCCAAAATGATGAAAACACTATACTTATCTCCTACTAAAATAGGAGTCTTTTACAATATCTGCAACTCTTTTTTCCAGAGGTAGGAAGCATGTAGTCCTTCTGATGCTGTTGAATGATAACTTCCAGTATTCATTCCCACTGGCTACAGTGGCTAAAGCTACTTGGCTTTGCAGTTTCAAATAATCTGAATGGCTTTATGATTCCTGACTCTGTTTTTGGGAAGTGGTATAGCTGGAAGAAAAAGCTGGAGAAACATGGTCTTGGCTGACTATACCACCTGGGAATATAGGTCTGAGAGCCCTTCCAGACAGGCCATATATTCCAGGATCTGATCCCAGGTTTTCTGTTTATCCCTAATTATCTGGTAGTGAAGACTTATATAACCCAGTTTAAAGCAGAATACCTGGGATCAGATCCTGGGATATAGGGCCTGTCTGGAAGGGTCCTGTGGAGCAATACCTGACTGTATGATGGAGTTTTAGTCTACTACATAGTGCGACATTATATAGCATATCAGCAGTATGGAAGCTATGCTCCTATCAACTTCACCCAGTATGACCTATGGACAGTAAGGATGGGAGTTGTAGTCAATAATATTTAGAAGGCCTTGTGATCCTCATCCCCGTGAAACAGGTTGAATGTCATAACTTTAATGGTCAAGTACAGGTACTTAGGAGCGCCTCCATTCTCCTGATTCAGTTATTAGCATTCATTCATCAGATTACTAACTCAAGGTACCTCATTAATCCACCCACAGTTCTTTTCTGGTTTAAATGACACCACCCCCCAGAGTCGGGCATGACTAGACTTAATGTCAGGGGAAAACCTTTACCTTACTATCTATTTTTAACTTTGCCCTTTGTGTTTTTAATGCTGGCCTTGTATAATTGTGCTAAATATTAAAATAATGATAAAAATAAAGGAACTACGGTAGTGCAGGAAGACGAGGTTACAATGGTGTGCAAAGGTATGATCACAGGACCATAGAATTGCAAAGCAGTGCAATTGCACCATTGAAGAGAGAGTTGCAATACCAAAAGTGCTCAACATATGTATCCACTATCTATGGTAACACAACTGTAGTGACAGAGTGGGTGAGGTGATAAAGTCAATAGTTTCCAAGTTGACTTGAACAGAATTTATTATTGATCTCTCGACCTCATATCTGAGTTTGA